CAACCTATAAGCGTCGAGCCTCAAGCTTCATAGGCGGGTCTCACGTGGGGGCGCGTTCTGTACCTACTATACCGAGCACGGAGCAATGTGCATACCGATAATATACGTGAGACGTTCGACCAACTTGAGACTGTGGGGCATTACGTGTGCCAAGACCTCCACCCACTCATCGAGCGTGGCTGGTATAGGTCGTATTATGTAGAATCGCCTGGGTGGGGGTGCAAAGCATCAGCAAATTTTCTCGTCCCTTCGCATCGCCACGTCGTGTCCAAGTTGCGCTGCAGCGCAAAACACGGACTATACAAGTATGCCCGCGCACGCCCGTTTCTGCGTTCTGCGATCGACAGCCTCCCCTACTTACGTATCCCACGGGGCGCTCGCGTGAGATTTTTGGGCCTATCTATCTCGTGGCACCCTTACTCGCACTTCGAGCGCCATACAATACATACTTTTCACGTCATTTTGTTGAATGTTTTATTTATGTTAGTCTAGGAAGAGAGAAGATGAACACGACAAAGCCAGATGTGAATGAATACGGATATCTGTCGTGTTCCTTGGGTTTGGGGTACTTGTTTTTCTACCCAAGAGAAAATATATTGGGCGGGAGCGCCATCACGCGTACGTACGTGGTATCACTTAGAAACCTCCATATTATATTGCGTCCCCAAACAAACCTGGAAATTAAAATACAAAAAACAATAAAAAACAACACAATATAGAGATTCATATTCATTATTTCCCGTCAAATGCGGCAGTGAATTTTTTCCAAATGGCCGAGGGGACAAATCCATAACAACACCACCACGCTCGAATCTATATGTAGACAAAACTGCGCGGTCGTGCCCGAGACTGTAAGTAAAGTATTATGCTTCCCAAGAACGAAAGAGTGTGAACTAGTTTATTGGGAATTCGCACCCATAACTACCCTTCTTTTTTGGTCGACGTTGACCGCGTACAGTAATAATAGTGTGTTGGTCAACGGGGGTAATACCAACTCCGCGATACTGAAAGACCCTAACGAATATCTCCTGCGCGACCACATTAGATGCTCAGACTTACAAGTCCCTCAGGTCACACTTGGAGTACTGTATCTCTCAGGCATGGCGCAAGTTTTCCTTTTTCAGGTCTTGGCCGTGTTTAGGAGGAAACCACCCACCCGTGACCGAGCACACACAGAGAAAAACATACTTACTCTAGAAGCAGCCTTTTGCTTGCGCCATTTCAAGAGCTCTTTACCCACCCCTTTTCTTTCGTTGAACCCTCAACCCGGGTGCGTTCAGGTGAACGCAAGAACGCAAGAACCGTACGGCCCACGTAACACCTCTATTGAATGACCCGTTTCAAGATTCCTTCCTCCGCCGAACATCGATTGTCCGAATCTCTCACTTTTCTTATTTCCGCATTCCACCAGTTCCATGCAGCAATCTCCCACCTCTTGCCTCTTGCACAAAAGAAAAAGGGATTTAGACGAGCCTGGGGCCACCGCCAGGCGATTTTTTTCAAACAGCAGTAAATGTTGCATGTTGCTGTTGGATACGCATCATACGTTGGAGGAGTTGTGAGTGAGAGTCGAGCCAGCCAGTCTGTCTGTCTGTCGTTCTAGACATCAAACTTTCAACATCAAAAGACCATTGTACCCAACTGAGACAAGACTAAAGAAAATGGTGTGTTGGAAGTCCTTACCCCCCCGATGCGACTGACAGATCAGTCGGTCAGGTGCAAATAAAAGAGGGCAGCTGCGTCGGCCATGATGTGGTACCAGGTACGTTTAGACAACAACCTCCGAGAGCTTCCTCGATACCCCCGCCGTTCTAGGTATTAATCAACCCGACCACCCCTCTTGAGAACAATATTTACCACATCCATCAGGTGTGTTCTAAACGAAGCGAAATCCATCGAATTTGTGCCAATGCCAAATTCCCTCCTCCTTCGCCAAATATGTACGGAGGTGCCGCTTTTGTTCAGAATTAGTCGATGTGGCCCAAAGAAAACATTTCCGGGAAAATGTGCAGAAAGCACACGACCGGGTAGAGGCACATGGAGCAGAGTACGCAACTGTTTTGGGGTTGTTCCCTCTCTTCGTCCCAAGGCCAATAGCCATCGAAAAAGTGGCATGGACCTCTGTGGCTGCCGTACGTAGCAGATGGCTAAACCCTCAAATCCATTTGTTTTAAGCTCATGAAATACGTAGTAATTCGGGAGAGTTGGTACAGCACGAGCTTCACTCCCCATGAGTTGACGGGAAATGAGGCTTGTGTTGCTCGCTTTCGGTGCCGCCGTTAGACAGTTGGTCCCGCCTGGATGTTGCTCAATTGATTGGTATTCAGGGCTCGTTGGCACCGACGAAAAGAAAGTCGTTCTGCGACGGCGTGGTTTCATGCAGAGCGCCGGTATTGGTGATGGTAGTGAATCAACCCTTAATGAATGTGATGCTGAAACACTCCGGAATAATGTGGTTTGTCGCCGATAGAGGATTGCGTTGTCGTACCACCTCTCCGGCGAGCCTGAGTGCGGGCGAACGGCTGTGTATAACTCCTTGAATGATTGATGCCCACCGCCTTGCTTTGCCGCTGACGCGCCGTCCAACGTCGCACCTCGCGCCGCGTGCAGAAATGCCAGTTGCCGGGGTGCTCCAATCCTGTCCATGTCGACCGCAAGAGCAACAAGGTGTTTGATCACTGCTGCAGGGGCCATGCCATCCAGCATCAAAACCCACCACAGCCTGCAAGCCAGTCTGCTGCGGACATTTCAGATTTCCAGCAACCGTGTTTGCTCCCGGGGTGTGGACTAACGGGATCTGTAGACAAGACCACGGGAGTGAGCTACGACTATTGCAGCAAGGCCCACGCTATCGAGGCAGCCATGCGAATGTCCGGTGTAGCACCGAAGATGGGCTCCACCACGACAACGATAGACCATTCGGGCTTGCGGGCACCCTCCAGCGGCGGCGACACTTTCTTACCACCGTGTAAACACAGCGGATGCACGCGCCCGTGCGCTGCAGATGCCAAGACTGGACGTATCCACGGCGTTTGCCAAACCCATTATTCTGGTGCTGCAAATTCCACTACTTATATCGTTGCGGGCCGCACCTCAGCTGCCTCGTCGACGCAAGCGCCTGCGCGTGCGGCAATGGGAGGGACGGTGGGCATCATCAAGATCTCCTCTATCGCGCAGGCGGCACCGCCCCCGCCATCAGCATCTTCAGCATCCGGCCGGTTGACGCGCCCGTCGGCGGTGTCTTCGGGTCAGTGTCAGCTGGACGGGTGCGCGAAGCTGAGCGCGATCAACACCAGCACCGGAGAGCGTTACGATTTCTGCTCCAGGCAACATGCACAGCAGGCGAAGAACTCAGGCAAGGCAGGACCCTTCAACGGCGGTGGAGCGTTCTTGGCGGTGCCCGGACCAGCAGTTTGCATGCTGTTGGGGTGCGCCAAGCCTCAAGCGCCCGGCTACGACCACTGCTGCAAGGATCATGCGTTGGCGGCACGGAAATATATCCCGATGTGCACGCTGCGCGGGTGTGCCAAGGACGCGTGGTTCGACCCGAAACGCAACCAGGTGAAGAAACTCAGGCGTGGTGGCTCTCCCACACTTTCTACAGTTTTGCTAAACCGCCCATGGGTAGCCAATGGGTGCCCTTCAACCGGGACCAGTGTACTTCTAAACGATAGATTATCTACTCTGGAACGGGCATTATAACGGCTACTAACCCTATCGTTAACCCTAACCCTGATCCCGAGTCCACACGATACGTGCTAGGTTGGCGCTGGGTGGCTAAGTTCTAGGTTGATGTGCCGATCGATGTCTACGTTCTAGGTTGATATGCCGGTGGCGAGTTCTCGGTTGAAGTGCCCACGGTAGGTACTTCGTGGTCAGTTCATGGGCCGCCCATGGGCGGGCCATGAAGTACCCGTGGGCGGTTTAGCAAAACTGCCAGTAGTGTGGGAGATTGGGCGTGGGCAGGTCCCCCTCTGTTTCTTCACCTAACGTCTTTTATGTCGGTTTCTCCGCAATGATCATATGATAGAAGTATGCACATATCGGTAGTCTACCTGCTTCCCAACGACGGTTGACAGGAGAATGAAACTGCTTTAGAGTCTCGCTTGGAGGAAACCGGTACAACAACTGTGGGCCATCGGAGTTCGTGTCAGTTGGGCCCAAAATATTTCACATCCATGTCTAACAGATGACGGCCAACGTGCTATGAGTACTACATTCCCAACCGGAGCCGAGAACTTACAGGTATATCTCAATGCCTGCGCAGAGAAGCATCTTTCTAATCTTCCCCCGGACAAGTCCAACTCCGCCGCAATGAAATGGTTGACGGTGATGATGCCCCCGATCTCCCCTGCTCTGTCCGTTGGGCCGCAGTACTCATCGTACTGCGGCCGCGCGCACCGCAATGAGGGAGAGCGAGTCTTGCAGGAGATGACAGGTGGTTCTGGCGGCTCGGGTTTCAGGCTGCAAGAGCTAGATCGGTCTCACCAGAAGTATGAATCAGTGAAGACACAGTTCACCTCTAAGTGGCAAAAGGGTAATGTCCCTACGGTGGAAAACATTTTCTTGATTAAGGTGAGTCGTTACGTCTGTCTGCGCTCTCTCTACAAGGTCTCCTGCGTCCTGCACTAGCGCCCAATACGCCCCATTGCCTCGACAGGTTTCGAGACATTGAGGGTGTGCCCTAAAAAGAGGTATTTATTGCCTTGGCCTTAAGCACGCTTGTACAAGCGTGTACAATAGTTGAGGTGGCCGGTCGGTTAGAAGTGTGTAAATACCGGCCTACAGCTGCCGGAGCTCTACCCGTCCTCGTTTTTAGTTACTACGCGTGAAGCCATTAGAGTACGCACAACAAACGTGCCTAGCTAGCGCGGGCAGGTAGTCCGAACGTGCGCTGTATTTTTCTCTGCAGTCCAAACCAAATACTACTCTCGACCCCACCTGACCCGCCCGAACTTTAACAGATGCCAATGGGTGTTGTCGACAAGTATTTGGCATACAAGAATCGAGTTGGAAACGAGCGCCGGAGATTTCACGGGACATCCCGCGCTTCAGACTGTGACTTCTTCACCGGCAGCAAGGTCAGTAGACTACGCGCTTTCTGGAGTTTGGCTGCAATGGGCGCATACAGTAATAAGATCCTGACGTCTACAGCAGTGGACCCGCGTCGGTGCTGCAGCGCAAATAAATACTATCTATATGGATACAGCATCGGCCCCCTACTATGAAAGCATGCCCTTTAGGCCAGTTGTTTTTGGAAAGATTTTGCGATTTGGAATCCGGGGGATCGACATAAAATGCTCAACCACCCCCTAAAAGCAGTAGGTCTGCGTACCGGATAGGAGGCGGAGCGCACAAAGGCACTTCGCCAGTTCGTCCTCACCTCACAGACGCCTGTATCTAACCGATAAGTCTGTACACTCCACTTGTGAGCATCTCGGAACCAAGTTTGGGCAGCTAGAGTGCAGTGTGCGCAGGGTATGCCCCGGGTTTGAAAGTATTTCACCATTTCCAGTTTGGAATCTCGGAATTTCAATCAATTGCAGGTTGTTTGGAATTCATGACGAACTCCAACCAGGATCTGTCCAGGAATTCCAAATTGGAATTCCTATTTTACCAAGCATGATGAACACACACTGCACGCCCAGCTCCCCAAACTTGACTCGAAGAGATGTGCGGTCTCGAAGGTTTGGTTGCAAACGGGTCTCTGTGAGGCGAGTATTGAGAGCCAAAACGAGTTTTCGTGCATTTTCCCACGAAGTGCACAGAACTCTTGCGGCCTCATGTGGGTTTGGATGTAAAAGGCGTAAAAGTGGGGATTCCCACTGAAAAGACAAAATTATTTTCCTTTTACCCATACCCTACGGCCTGAATAAATAAAGTTATGAGCGCTCTAACTACGTGTTGAAGCCTCCCTGTGTTTCTACTAAACCTAGCCTAAAAAAATAGATATCCTTCGCAATCAAAAATGTACGAGAGAGCGCTTCATGCAGGAAATTGGAAATTTTGCATGTTTGAAGTATTTCTGGCTGTCACTGCTGCTTCAGAGAATATACATGACACCCAGCCTCGAGCCGGTCTGTCTTAATAGTGGGCCGATACTGTTGAATACATGGTACTTCGAAGAAGTTGTTATTGACCAAGAACTAAACAAGTTCGAGTGACGAGACACCGCAAGCTAAGAAAAGCCCTCCAATCGACATTTTATTTAGACTGCCATCATACGGATCAGCTGGGCTCAATCAGCCACAGAGTCAGGCTCGTGAGCCGTGGATTCTGAGACCACCCGCGGCAGCTAAGGAAAGTGTTTAGTTACTACCGGATCCAAACAATACAGGCAAAACAGCTACCAAAACGTTTCTCTGAGGACCAGACTCCAGCAGCAGAGAGGAACCGATACAGGGTCCACAGTATTTGCTCCTGAGGGTAACAAGGGTGAAATACCAAGATACCTTCTCAAATCTATTTGTGCATGTTTGGGAAATACGCATCTCGATCGAGTGCTAAAATCACGGGCCGCAACGTTCAAGGCCAACCCGCAGAACTCGCAACGCGGTGTTTGCGTCTCGATTCTACCGATGCTGTTGATGTTCCGCTTCTATTCCCCCGCGCGGCCGCTTCTTTCGCAGAAACAACCTTGTAGCTCGCGGACTTGCGTGGCCTGCAACATCTGCATGGTCGGCTTTAAGCTTGTCGGAACAACGAAGAAATCCTACGCACGGTACGGTCGAGGCCTCTACTTCTCCTCCGTTTCGGGGAAGTCCAACGACTACGCCGATGGGTCCGAGCAGGTGCTATATGTCCTTGTAGATGAACATGAAACCGGCCGCACGCAACTTCTTGAGATTCGTTGTGGGTTCCCTCCCGCTTTTTTTTCTCACGTAAGGTTTGAATTAGTGCTTCTAACTGTACCAGTGCAGCAAACCTCTGTTTTACCCCTACGATGATTTATCCCCTGATGCTGTTGCACTGTCAATGAACGATAGGCTGATGGGACGCTACTCGGCAGTGGGGGTGGTGAAATTGGCAGGGTCATGGTTTGGAAACATGAATTCGCGGGGACCCGGAAGACGCACAATACACTCTACTGGTTTTGGTTGTGCCTTTGTCCATGTCCCTAGTGTTTATATCGGCAGCTTACCTGAGACGTATTCAGGCGGGAATGGTGACAGAGCGAATCTTGAATCTTGTTCGCGTTTCTTCACGTGGGCCTTCAGAGTTCGTGGCTTTCGAACTTACGGCCTTCATTGCGCCTCGTCACCACTCCCCCACTTTCTTTAATTCCTCATAACCCCCCCCCCCCTCCCCCGGAAGGGAGTAAAAGTAGGGACACGGACACTTCGGTGTCAGGAATGCTGTTTGCGGATGATTATGTTTGTATGTCGGACACCCCTGAGGGACTGCAACTGCAAATTGACGCGGCGAAGAAGTTTACTGATAAATGGAGATTGTCTGCCAACGTTAAGAAGAGTGCCGTCATGGTATGAAACGAGGACAGGGAGGAACCAGTAGAATATAGATGGAAGTGGGGGATCGAGGAGATTGCAGTATTGGACCAGTACACATATCTCGGAGTTGATATCGCAAAAGACTGTTCGTGGAATGCACACATGTCCAAGGTAGCGGAAAAGGGCAAAGCACGAGCAGGGAAGCTGCACCCAATACTCGCAAACCGGCACCTCGATACACGCATCAAATTGATGGTTTTGAAGAGCGTAATCGTACCGCCGCTAGAGTACGCCGGAGAAGTATAGGAAGGAAATAAGAAGGTAGGGAAAGAACTCGAGGCGGCGCAGATGAAAGCAGCGAAAATCATCCTAGGATGCTCCAAGCGCACAAGTAATGCAGCCGTCAGGGCAGAATTGGGGATCCAATCCCTACGGTCGGGAAGAGACGCAAGGAAGCTGACATGGCGGTATTGCATGTGCGGGATGGGAGAGGAGAGGTTACCGAGAATAGTATGGGAGGCGAAGTGGGCAAACAAGAAGAGGGGTAGACAACCCACGTAATGGGTCAAGGTTGAAGAGGACGTATGGAAGGGGTTCGACATCGACGAAGATGAAACGCTGGAAATGGAGGGTCTACAGGGGTTCAAGAAGAAGATATCTGTTGATTGTGCCGAGAGAGAAGAACATAATCTAAGGAAAGAAACCGAGGATAAGGAGGGTCTAGAAGTGTACGGAATATTGAAAGAAGGAATAGGGTTCAAGGACTACCTACATGGACCAATGGATGCAGGGACAAAGCTTAAGGTCAAATTCAGGACCGGGGACATAGACCTTCGAGAACGTCGACGAAGACATAGGACGGTAGACGACGAAGACGACAAGTTCAAATGTGATTGCGGCTTCGAATGCGAAGATCGTGTTCATGTAGTCGCGGAATGTATGTCCGTGGTACGAAGAGGAGAGGGAAGTGTACATGACTGAGCTGGGAAAAATAAAAGGGAGGTACAGGGAGATGCTTGAGGCGTGGAATAGAGAGGAGAGGACGGTAGCTGTACTAGGGAGTAGGAAGTGGTTTGAAAAGGCGGGAAGGGATATCGTTAGGATAGACAAACTAGGGAAGACATTTTTGAGCCACCTTTGGCAAAGTAGGAAGGAACGATTGGCCATCGGTGATCGGTCCTGTGGGCACAATGTTCCGTCCTGTCGAGGACGCGTGGTCAACGGTCTAACCGCTAAGGCATGCAAAACATAAGAGCACGCCCCCCCCCCCCCCCCCCCCCCTCCCCCGGTTGGGCGCGCTTTTCCTGTTAAAAAAGGGTAAAGGGGCGCCTTACCCGAAG